TAGCCACCTTGCTCCCAGTGCTCACTTTGACTTTGTTAGAATAATACCCTTCTATATTGGGGTTAAAACTGCGGTTGCATTTCTGCTTGATGAAAGCAGGAAACTACAGGAAGTGGGCACAACAATGGTCTGATCTAGGCCAATGAGATTTCGTCTGTATTGTATCTTTTGAACGCCGCTTCAACAAGATGCTTCTGGAGATCTGTCCTTATTTAATAGTCTTTCTCTCATGATTGCTGTTTGTTTTCTCCAGGCCATGCTGGAGCATTTTTTGCCGTTTAGATGATTCACTTAGAAAGGAAGAAGCAAGCAATCTAGATGTAAAGTACTGTTTTCTTTGTAAATGTTTTATGGGGGAGGGAAAAGCACTTGGCATAGTTGTTAGACCTCAAGATGCACACAATAAGTTTCTAATGTAAACATAGCTTTTGTTTGTTTGCAAGAAGACTCTGCAGGGGCTGTCGTAAAGGTCCAGTGTGTAGGATTTAGTGGGATCTAGTAATGTAGCTACTTGTTTTGTAAAGATTAGAAATTGCAATTAGAATTAGAAACTCTCAACATTCGATACTTGATAATCTCCCTCAGGATAAATAAAGGTATCTAATCTATCTATCTATCCTATCTATGCTATCATATCTATCTATCTATCTATCTATCATATCTATCAGTATCTATCACTATTCTCATATTCACTCATCTTATCATATCACCTAATCTATCATATCTATCTATCTATCTATCATGGTGTGTTCTCTCTCACACACACACAGCAAGCAAATTGTTGCCTTGCATGCTTGCACGAATTTGGCTGTGGGATGATTTGTGTTTCTACACCCGAAACAGCCACAATACAGCTAGCAAGCAATGGCAGGCACCAATGGGTGTATCTGTCTACAGCTTCCTGCTGACACTTTGAAATTTGACTTTTTTAAAAAAATCCACACTAGTTTTAAAAAATAAACTGAGCCTCCTCCCCCCAGATTAGAGAAGAATCTGATGCAACTCCAGGTCTTTATTCACCCAGAAGCTCCAGCTCTGCTCTCTGTTTCTCTCCTCCCCACACAACACTCTGCAAAGCCACATCAGACATGGATGTTGACTTTTTTAATACATGCTTTCAACTTGTGGTTAATACAGTGTAGCTGAATACAATGTCACCTGATGGGCTACAGTTATTTGGGGGTTTTATTTTGGTGTTTTTTAAAAAGACTAGATAGTGTAGGGCCCCGAGCTACATGCCACTTCTAAACTGTGGTGGCTGTATAGTGTCAGACTGAACAGGCGGTGAAAAAGGCACAATCCCACGGTAGCAAAGATAACATTGCTCATAGTGAACATAATGCTCCTGGCTAATAAACAAATGTGACTGGGTTGCTGGAGTAATGTCGGTATAATCATTGTTTGTCGTTTTGGAGCTATAATACGCAGGCGTTGTGCAGGGCAGGTCTATAGTTCAGAATATATTATCATTTGACCCAATGCGTATCAACATAGATTAGCAGCTTGCCTCGATACGTATGAAAACAAGATGAAGTACTCCACCCAAAACTCTGGTACTCCCCTTCCTCTACACAAAACAGAATTGTGACTAAGCAGTGACCAAGTTTAATACAGATTCTGTGAAGTGAACAAATTATCATTATAATTTCATATGAACTTCCTTTTTTAATTTGTATTGTCACTGTTATTAACCACGAATACAGCTGACCACAGCCTATATTTTCTGTGAAAGAGCAGATTATAAACTTCTTTTACAGCCACCTGACGAGCCTTCAGAAGGCGAGCATTGTATACTGAAAACATTTTAGGTGTGGTATCACTTCGATCCAAACTACTCGCCTGCCGACAGACCAGACTAACTGTGCGTTTGTGTGTGTGTGGAAGCAGGGACGCTGAAAAAGAGACGAACCTACAGCAGGCAAATAATGGTTTCAAGAAAGCAAAGTTAAGTGATGTAAAAATGATAATTGCAAACTAGTTGGCGAAGTGTGGGCAAGTGTATACAGTGCTCCCTGCCAAATGTGCAATTGACTTAAATTAAATTTAGATAGTAGAAGTTTTTGTTCTTTGTGGCTTTTTTATGCCTTTTGATTTGATAGGACGGTTATCAGACAGGAAAGGGGAGAGAGATAGGAGGGATCACGTGAACGCACCAGGGCCACGTGGAGGTGAAGAAATGAAACCAGTAGAGGTTGCTGGTAGATTTAGAAATTTGCCCATGTGAGCTGTAAAACACACACCACACACCGCACAAGGAGGTGGGGTTTTTCTTTATGCTACAGCACCCATCTGCGCTATACCGAAAATCTCTCTAGCAGTCAAATTTGTATGGTTTAAGCAAGGAAATATTTGCTTTGCATGTAAAAGCACCGTTGGAGATGGAAAGCAAAGCACACCTCGTTGAATGTAGCTCTAGTAGGCGCTCTCTGCAACCCCGTCTGCTCCTGTTTATTGATCTGCAGGACACCCGCTCGCCTGTTTTATCACTTTAGAAACACTGTGCTTGTTTATGACCAGCGTTAAAACTCAAAGTTCAGTTGGTTATTGAGTCGGTTGGCTTATGTCACCTTCAGAGACCCCAGCACCACGTGGGTGTGCTCTTCTTGTAGTCAGGTTTAAAAAAAAAAATAAAGCCACTTCCTTAATCACTGCCATCAGTTCTGTAAGTAGCAGCTGGCCTGCAGCAAGTAAACATTTGACAATAAAAGTCGGATAACGCTGAAAATAAAGGCTTCAGTGGCGCGGCACGTAACAATCCCATTTTTCTGTGTTGTCTTCCTCTGGTGTTGTCACATTTACTGAAGTTCTGACAGGAAACAAAAAGCTTTCAAGGTCAGAATCATTGTTTAGGGAGCAGCTTCATTGTTTTTCTTTAATCTTGGGTCAAAATTCACAACATCATAAGGCTGAAGCATTTCCAGACTTTCCTCTGTTTTTGTAGTTCTCTGCTCTCAAACAGTATGTCCCGAAGTCATGTCTGCTCAGATCTCCATCTGTTTTGCTTGTGGCAGAAACGTTTCTTATCAAAGCCCTTCTACTTGGCCATCAGGTGTCGGTTAACCTCAGCACACAGGGAGTTACTTGGATGAAACATGCATTTTCCATAACCTCATACAACTCCGCGGGCAGGTTACAGCCAATGCAACGCGTACATATGTAGTCCAGGTACTCCTCCGTTCCCCGGTGTTTGAATGATAAAATGATCGTACTCTTCCCATCATTACATTTCCATTACATTTCTCTTCCTTTCATCTCCTACCTCTGTTCCTTCACCTCACCTTCTCTCGTCATCACAGATCAGCTCTTGGTTTCACCCTTGGCCCACATTTAACTGCCTTTATGTTCATAAAGGCAGTTCCTTTGAGTTCTGGAGAAAATAAACCTTTGCTCAGAGGATAGCAATTTCCTGGCTTTATTTCCATGCATTCTGATCCGATTCCCAAGATGACGGTCACCTTTTCATTCTGAACCTCCTAATTTACACAGCTTGAGCATAAAAATGACAAAACCCTTCCAGTATTCCTGAGACGGCTGTATTCAGATACCTAGGTAGATACAGGTTAGTTTATTGGATTCAGGATTAGTTTGTTTTTCCCAGTTCAGTTGAGTGAGATTATTTCTCCACTGGGCCTGCTGTAAGCTGATTCATAGACCAAAGGTCCTCAGCACACAGCTGACTCAGTGACAGCTAATCTCTGATCTGTCTGAATAGTACACTGTTAACACGTTGATGCAGCACAGCTGGGTTGTCACGTAGCTAAGCTGCTGCAGTGAGGACTCTCACGCTGCGCTGTTTGCATCCCATCCATACGTTTATTGTTCCACTGGCTCTTTTTAATGTTACGTTAGAATCGTGGGGTTATCGGGTCAAACCGTTCTCCAGACCTCAGCAGGAATAAATGTGATGCCAGGTGTTGTGAGAGTTGTAGCCGACCCAGCTTGGAGCCCATTTATTTGGCCCTGTTTTTGCTGGCCTAAACGAACAGGCCTCTGAGCGGAGACGAGGTGAGACGAGGTGAGACGAGGTACTGATGTGCAGTTTGTTGTGCTGCCAACTAGCCAGCCTGCCAGTGTATTTAGCAGCTATTGGCCTTAGCTGAGCTGAGCTGGCTGTGCGGTGCTGGGGCCTGACTGCTGGCTGACTGCCCTCTAACAAGGGTGGGGCTTTGTCAGTGCTCAGTGCTGACCTTCACTCTGATTCATGATTTCCTCGTCCTCGCAGTCCGTTTCCCTCCCATCCTCCCCTCTTTCCTCGTTAGCATGCAGTAGATCAGGACTGGCCTCCAGCTGTATCCCCCCCACCCCCCACCCCCCAAACACAAGCAGGACCACCCTGTGTCCACCACAGACATCGCGGTCTGTAAACAAACTGACATGTAGCAGATGTGTGAGTTCACCCCCTATTTTAACGCTAAACTGAGAAACACACACTATGGAAAACAAAGTTAAAAATCTGTGAAAGAGTTTTTGTTTAATTTTTTTATAGTACGTGTTTTCTTTCTTTTACCATCCATCACTTTCCCTCGCCTTCAGTTCACCTTGGATCTGTTTACACACTGTTGTCTAATAATAGTGAGTTTGAACCAAAAACTCATTGATGTGGGTAGCTCAGAATGACCACTGTATACAGCTGACACTTACTCAGTGAAGTGAAGAGTCACGTGTCTTCTCCACTTGTCTGTGCAATCACGTATAACAACCGAGCTAATCAACTCAGGATGTTGCTGATGGATTGGGTCCTCATACTGTTCCTTTAGAATGATGTCAATTATTTATTTAATGTTTTATGTCTGTGAAATGGAGCTTAAGTAGTTTCCCTGGTGATTTTTTTTCTCCAGTAGTTCAGAGCTGACCAACCTGTGGCTGTGCTGCTCTATTATTTAGTCAGAGTATACATACAAGCTTCCGGTCCGTGACTACACACCCAGTAGAGTTACGGTAGTGGATATGGTAGTCATCGCTGCATTGTGACTCACAGCATTTTATTTTCCCTTTAACAGGGGCGCAGTGTGTGAGGAAGCCTCTGTGGATCACCTGCTACGTGTTCGCCCTAACCTTCAGTGACCCTGCTGCCTACGTTCAACCCCCGTCTCTTCAAGAGGAGGCTGGGCTCCCTCCGGGCGCAAGAAACACCATGTGCCAAAACTGGAGAGGACTTACCATTGCCCCATAGACAGCCACACCTCCCGTGAACCCGTCCCCTCCAGGACCACCCTAATCCTCCACATCGTCCACTGGCCAAGATGACGAAGGTGGCGGCATGGTCAGCAGAGGACGTCTCCGATTGGCTGAGCAAGGAGGGGATGCCGGAGTACATAGATGCCCTCCGTCGGACCGATGGCCCGGCCCTGCTCAGGCTCACAGAGGCAGATTTCAATACGCCTCCCCTCTCGCTGGTGGCGTCTGACGGCGGGCAGCAGCTGTTGGAGCGACTGGAGACGCTGCAGATAGAGACTCATATAGAGGCTCACAAAAACGGCCACGCAAACGGGCACGCCGGTGGGCTACCTAACGGAACTAGCAAGCCTCAGAGGAATGGCACATTGGGGATGAAAGACTTCAGAAGGGAGATGGTCAAGATCCCCATCCCTACAATGGAGACTACACGGCCCTCGTTCCCCGCCGAGTGGGGCAAGACGGGCATAGCGTTCTTCTACGCGGTGGTGTGCTTTGTCACCACCACCGTTGTCATTTCAGTGGTCCATGAGAGAGTACCGCCAAAGGAGCATACCCCACCACTGCCAGATAAGTTCTTTGACCTGTTTAACAGGGTGGAGTGGGCCTTCTCCATCTGTGAGATTAACGGCATGCTGCTGGTGGGACTCTGGCTCATACAGTGGATGCTACTCAAGCACAGGTACAGTCTTTGTTAGGTACCCAAATATTTTAGTTAATATGTTAGACTTTGATCTGCAACTAAATAAAAAATGTCATATTATTCTTTTTCTTTTTCTTTCTTTTTTCCCCAGGTCAATTATAGGCAGGCGGTTCTTCTTCATTGTGGGCACACTCTATCTGTACCGGTGTATTACAATGTACATCACCACTCTGCCCGTTCCTGGGATGCACTTCAAATGCTCTCCAAAGGTATAATACACATACACTTTTATTTCTATCACCATTGTAGGTTGGTTGAGCATGAAAGGCTTCTTTCTTACTTAACCGCTTGCGGCGTAACCGTGTTGAATGGGCAAATTCAGCGAAAAATTAGATCTCTTTTGTAAGCTGAAAGCCTCTGAGTGCTCTCCACTGACCGCCGATTTTAAGATACATGCATGTCCATTTTTTATGTGAATAAGAGGAGCTTTGTGTGTTTGCTTCACTTTTTTGTAGTTCCTATTAGATAATGTTGCAATTGCTCTGCTGGGGAAGCAGTTTTTTAAATTTTATTGTATACTTGTGTTCTCAAAGCCACTGTGCAGTCTTTCTTCTGGGTTAATGGCGTCTTGTTCATGGAAACATTACAGTCTGTGTTCTCTGTGCGTCTCGTAAAACATTTGCATGCTTGCTGCTAGAACACAGAATACCATCAAATATGTGCACACACTCATCAAAACATTGCTCTGAAGCACCACCGGTGGTAAGAACCGTAATAGTGTAAGGTTATAGCGGTCATCAGAAATACTGCCGAGCTTTAGGCAACTAAAATTTCTGTTATAGATCAAAGCTAATTATTAAAAATGTGAGTGTTAAGGTCATTGTCATTAAGAAGTCATAGTTATGGTTTAAAGAAACCAACTTGGTGTAGGAGAACAGTGCAGGAGAAGTATAATGACCTGTGGTGTTTTAGTCTGTACTACCACTCTCATCCTCCAGACCCTCACTTGCTGTTACAGCACTTCCTTTTATGGCAGGAAATGCAAACAATAACACAGGTTGTTTAAGTGAGCAAAATGACAAATGCTGAAGAGGTCAGTCTACAAGTAAAAGACTAGTGCTCAAGCACTGTATTTACTGTAAATGTATCATGCATGAGCCAGTAGGTTTCCGAGACCCCGACCAGAACAACTCTTGGCCTACATGCGGCTGTAGCTGCAGTGAATTGCACATCAGAGAACTCTCCAGTTGACACTGCAAATTGCATCCACGGCACGCCTCACGACTGTTGATTGAATGTAATTAAGTTTTCCTCCTCTGCAATGAAGGTTTTTTTTCCCACCCTCAGCGTCTGTGTGTGTGTAGGTGTGTGTGGGGTTATAAGGGTATCAGAATGAATTTACATCCATTCACATTTTCATGGTTTCTTATTGCATCTATTCCAGTATGTTTAAGACACTGACATCAAAGCTAATATTCTGACTTTATTGTGGTTTCGCTGTTGTGGCTAAAATGGCTGCTGCTTTTAGTCATGCTTTCTAGAACATACTGAAGAACCTTGAGCAGTCTCCTCTAGATGAATAATGCATGGGCTATCGCTAACAACATGCTGGTTTTTGGCTGCTACAGTGTGTTCTCCGGTTTAATCGTGGTGACTTCATTGGTTCTAAACACTGTTTTTCTCTCTGCCTGTAGGAGAATGAGCTTCAGGATTTCCTCCAGGAGAACAAACACTTGAACCTCCAGTTGTTCAACAGTAGCCACAAGGCGTCTGAATATGAGAAGGTAAGAGGGGATTTCTGTGGATGATGTTGTTGTGGTCAAACACTTTTGTCCAGATAGACATATCTTAACAATCATTGGATGGATTAGCAAGGAATTTTGATAGATAAACTTTTCACATTCATTGTCACCAGAGGATGAATCGTACTTACTTTTTCTGTAGCGCCACCATGAGGTTGACATTTTTGCTTTTTAGTGAAATATTTTGACATCTATTGGACGAGTTAAGAGGGAGCTGGTACAGACATTCATGGTGCACCACGATGAATCCTAATGCCTGATGATTCCCTTTGAGTAAAGCCCGACTGATACATGGGCCTAATTGGTAGAATTTGGTATCATGTCAGTATGTTATCCGATATATGGTAGTACGAAAACTGAAAGAAATGCTTGTGGTTATATATTTGTGTCACTGAAAAGTTAATCCAGAAGAGTGCGCTGTGACAACATTGTGGC